GCGTCGCATCACATTCTTCTTCTGAGGTAAAACATTTATTTTTTTTTTTGGACTCATTTTTAATGGCTAAATGAAATGTTATTAATAAAAAAGCATGTCTAATTAATTAAAATCATGAAACTTAATTCAATTTATTAACTCAATATCAATTTATTAACTCTGTGGGCAACAGAGTTATCTCACAGTGACTGTTCATTACATGTCGGATTGGGAAATAAAGAGCACCATACTCGAAACCCGTCCCCTGTATGAAAGTCATACAAGCGCTAATTTGGCAGGAGAGTTGACAAATGCAGTGAATACGTGGAAGTTGAGGAGGCCAAACACGTTACTCCCAGTAACCACAGATAATGCTTCAAATATTGTGCATGCAATTCATGAAGCTGACAGGCTGGCGCCACACATTAGTTGCTTTGTGCATGTTGTAAACCTCGCAGCCAAGAAAGCGGTGTCAGTCAACACGGTGTCCCGCCTTCCTGGGGCGTGTCAGAAAAATAGTGACTTTTTTCACAAAAGCACCACAGCCCACCATGTTTTCACTGTGAAGCCGGAGATGTTAAACTTGCCCAGACATAAGTTAATCCATGACGTCACAACTCGTTGGAATGCAACACGACATGGCATGTTGGAAAGATACACAGAGCAGCAGCCCGCCATCAATTCTGCTTTACTGGACAAAAATCTGAAGGCATCTGTCAAGAACATAGCAATGTTGAATGGCAATGAACAGAAACTGGCAGAAGAACTGATTCAGGTAATCAAACCACTAAAAACAGTGACAACTCTCATGAGCAGTGAAACCACACCCACCATATCAATGATCCTTCCTCTGAAAGAGATGATCCTCAAATCCATGGCACCAGGAGACCAGGGGCCGGTTGCATAAAAGGTTTAGACTAGTCTTAAAAGTTAGTCATCTAATTTTGCTCTATAAGAATGGTCAAAATTTGTTTTAATTTGGTTACATAAAACGTAGATTAGTCTAAGCTGTATCCAAAATATAAGACTGATTACCCCTTGGTTAATTGCTAGTTGGTCAAACTTGTTCTTAAAGTTGGGGTATGTATTTTTTCAAAAACGCTTTAGAAAACGAGTCGGGCCAAGTACCAAAACAAACTTGTAGCCAATCAGCAGTAAGGGGCGTGTCTACTCATGATGTGGAGGAGAGAGCGCTCAGTGCACAGGATGGACATTAGCCGAGCCGAATGACGACAAAAAGATAGAGATGGCAGATAAAACACAAAAGAGGAAAACATCTGCGGAAACAAAAGGCGGCTTACGATAAGGCAAGAAGTAGGACCCGTGTAAATATCGGATCAGCTTTCCAGCGCTGGAGAGAACTCAAGTAGCGGGAAGGCCTGCGATCGGACACCGAGGTTGGGTTGTTTCTTATCGATAGGCGAGTAACACCGTGTCTACACCGGACACGCTGCGCCGCAACAGCTAAAGTCTGTCTACACTGGACGCGATAAAGCGACCGTTGAAAATCATTTGAAATCAGCAGTTTTCTGTCGGGGATTTGTTGCCACGCCACATCCAGTGTAGACAGAATCACGGATTATAATGAGTTCTATAGTATTTTGTCGCGCCGCTCGCGTCTGGTTTAGACACGGTGTAACATTGGTTTTGCTTTGTTTCACAGAACTAATTGCTGCCTGGGTTGTGTACGTATGTGTGGGGTGGAGCTATCAAAATCGGGGCGAGACCCTTTAGGGGTGTGTTTGTTTTGGTGATTTGAAATATCAACATTGGCTACCAGAAATCACTTACCCCACCTTTAAGACACTGTCTTAACATAGAGGCTAAGTTTATGCAACTGGCCCCAGCACAGTCCAACAGTCAAAGAAGCAAAGCAGCCATTACAAATGATCTGACAAAGAGGTACACTGACCCTAATCTTCAGGATTATCTCCAAATGGCCACAGTCCTAGACCCTAGATTAAAATCCCTGCCTTACTTTGATGACGACTCTCGTGAAATGCTCTACAGGAACACCATTCAAAAAATGTTGGAGCATAAACAGCAGCTACCATTTAGTTACGTTTTTTTTATTAATATTATTTATTAAAATGTTTTTAACTGTGTGAGATATTGATTGTGTTAAATTTGTTTAGATGGTTATTACATATTTTCACAGATAAAAATAATTATTAAAATTAAATTTGTGATATGTTATACCAGAAATAACTGTGGTTCTGAGCTGTGCATGCATCTGTGTGGGGGAGGTGTAATAATTATAATAAAGGATCATTATATTTGATACACAGGGTCTAGTACAGAATCCTGTGCCCTCCACATCCACAGAGGAAGAAAATGCATCCTCTCCCCGTCCAAAGAAGAACACCACAATGTCAGAGGTATTTGGGGAGCTTTTTAAAACAGAGGAACAACAGATCATTGAGGAGGTAGTCACCACATACAAGTTAGCAGATAGTATTCATGTGGATGCTGATCCAATCATGTGGTGGAAAAACAATGAATGCAAGTTGCACAACAACATCTCTGTGTCCCAGGAACCTCTGTTGCATATGAGAGAATTTTCTCGACTGCCGGAGATACTGTAAGTGCGAACCGGTCTTGTCTTGCTGCAGAGAATGTTGGCAGGCTTATCTTTTTACAGAAGAACCTCAAAATACAGGAATAGATAGCTGACCTAAGTGATGTTCTAAATGAAGACTACTGTACTGCAGTACGGCTAAGTTTAATTCAGATTGTTCATTTATGTTTACTGACGTATAGGTATGTTTATTTAAAATGTTCAATTTATTTTTACATGTATGTTTATTTTTTAAATTTAAGAATTCATGTGTTCCCAAGTTTGAATGGGCTACCAGGAGGGATGGGTATCGTTAAGGTTTTAACGGTATTACTACTCTTACCGATACTGCTTATCGATTCGGTACTTTAACGG